CTACGTAATCTAGGTTCATCTGTAAAGCTCATTCCTAAATTACTTCCTTGTAGACACATGTATATATCAAAGTTTTATCATTAAAAATCCAGAGTGAAAATGTGAAAATTCTTCCACATGGCATCTATAACACAGGCCCCTTTTTATTTAGCTCTGAGAACAGGATGCCTCACTTTTCCATAGTCCACATCTTAGATTGCCAGTCTATTTTCTTGCAAAGGTAAAGACTCAGCTTCAGAATGAGTGGAATCAATGGCTTATCTGGTGACATGCTAGCTATTCCTTATTCTCCTTCAGTGAACGAGTTTTATGCCAGATTAGGAAATAACAGATCTCACTGTGATACCTTTAACAGAAAGGTTATAGGTATGTTTTTTGAGGCTCTGCAATTGTACAAAGTAAAATTGGAGGCAGGAAGATGTAGCATTTCCTGTTGGGCCCTTCTTATCTTGATCATCTTGCCCATCGCTTTTATGTTTTTCCAGGGTCAATTTTTGACCCAAATCCCTTTCTTCTTTCCCAGTAAAACTCAGCCTGCAAATTGTAGGAACCATCTCAGAGGTTTTATACCTAAGTCCTCTTGGCTTCTCCCCTCCCACACTGCCATTCCCACTCATTTCCTATTCCACCTCTGTTCTTGGATTTCACGTTTGAGTCATATCACAATTCCACATCTTAATCTCTACACTGAGACAGCTGCTAGTCTGTCACATACCTCCTCAAAATCTTTTTTATTCTTACTGTCATCTCCTCTCCTTTGGGTCCCAGATTTCATCTTGCCCATTCATCCTCAGTTTCCCCTCATATGTTCCTAATCCTCCTTCCTTCCCCTTCCTGGCTCCCATTCATAATCTCTTTGTCTATTCAGTTCCTGTCCTCATCCCTATAGACTTCTCACCTCCTTTATTTTTTTTATTTTCTGATGAGTCCATATGTTGCTGTATGTAGCAAGTATGTGTTTGGCATGGCATCCCACATGATAGTGGGAAATGGGACCAAGACATTTGACATGCAGGGACGGATGAATGGGACTTCTCAGCCATCTCAGCGTGGGATCTTGTTCAGAGCTCAGGCTGATCAGCTGTGATTGACACAGGAGGCCATGGGAGAGAGCCTGCAGTGCTGTCTTACAAAAGCATTAAATGCAGATTGGTGTGTGCTTGAAGGAGAGAACACAAAGCGAGAATCAGGTTATTAGTTTTGAATCAAGCAAGATTTAAGAGGTCTGTAAGCCTTTTCGTCCTACACTTAAATCACTGCATTTCCCTTTGCCTGTATTCTAGCAGGAAGGGAGACAGAGAGCAGGGAACAAAAAGGCTTTTAGTTTCATTGCCCTGAATTCAGCCTGATCTCTATTAGCTCAGAGCTTCACTTCCAGAGAAAACAGCTGCTGAGCTAAGAGCTGGAAGCAGACCCAGTTCCAGGGGCATCTTCAGAGAATGAAGCCCCAAAGGTCCAGCAGGTCATTAGAGTGTACAAAACCTCTTTTCTTGTGGGGCTTATAACCTAAATAAATTTGGACAGATTATCTTTGACACAGAGGTTAATTTGTTGACCCCGTTTCAAAGTCTAATGCCACTGCCATTTCTCAAATCACTAAAAATGTTACCATGGGTATTTTCTTTAGCATTGTTCACAAAAATACATCAATTTTTTTTTGGTTGAAATAATTCATGCACACTTGAACTGAAGGCAAGAATGGCCTTGCAGTATTGCAACTGCAATGGTTATAGCAGATCAAAGCTATAAGCCGTTTAAAATAACCTTTGAATGAGTAGTGTTGGGTGTGTGGAAAAGTAAGTAAGCCTTGTTCCCGCTGTTGCTTATAACACATATGTCACTGGTGTTTCAATGTAGAGAATCTGCTCTTGTCTAAGACTAGGAGTTTAAATCCTTGTGCACATTAAAGCTACCCAGTAGAACAGGCATTTGTCCATGTGCTGCATATAGCAAAATCACACTGTGATGTGTAAAATACTGTACAGATTGCAGTATATACTGTTCAAAGTTTATTTTGAGTCTTCTGCATTTTCATAAGACAAAAAATATGATCTATATCATCTTACAACATTGGCAGTATGAAACATACACACAGTATGCATTTTGAACTGTAGCATATGTACAGAATGTTCACAATTTAAACAGGAGAAATGTAGCTCAGCATGTATCATCTATCTATCTATCTATCTATCTATCTATCTATCTATCTATCTATCTAATCTATCTATCTCTATAGGCTTATTACCATAGTATTAGGAACCTCTCTGAAACCTTTCCAACTGAAGAGCCCTCCAAGCTTGCCTTAAGAATTCTCCATCCCTCCCCCTCTCCACCCCACCCCCAAACTCATAAGTACTTGGAAATGCTTCCACCTCTCTCCAGCCTGCAGCTGTTTCTGGAAGTTTTCTAATACATACAAAGGACACTTGAAGAAATTTGTAAAGGAGCCACTACTACCGTGATGGCACAACAGAAATTACACCCCACCAGTAAGGATAACAACTGGACACAGCTGTATCCAGCTGAGGAGTAACATTATCCATTTCCAAATATAACAGTATTTGCATTCTTTCTCCTCACTTATGACCATGCTGCAGCAAGAACTCTATAAAGAGCTCATGAGAGATGGAAACTGAAAATCCCTCCAATTCTTAATAAATTACTTTCCTAACAAGAGACCACATCGCTATAAGCCTAGGCTTGCACCTTCTGAAAATTAGGTTCCTCTTTCCTGCTAGAGCTACATTAAAGGGAACTGTTCAGCCTCACCCTCTTTCTCCAGTCAGCTGACATGCCAATATCTATGGATACATCTATTATAATTTTAACTGGTACGTTATGTGTAAATATCATCCGGTTGGATTTGCATTGACGTGATTCATACTATATATAAGACATCAAACTCAAATATGTTCTAGCTTCCAGCTCTTTGAGATGCCTTCACTAGTTAAGAATTTAATCCATCCACTTGGACTTCTTAAATGGTTGACACAGAACAGTACTCAGCATTCCTAAGGACTCAAGATGTTTCAGGGTCTGTATTTTAAAGTGGTTTTAGGTGTGTGTGTGGGGGAGGGTTCATCTGCAATGGACCTGAGACAGTAACTTTCAACAAACATGAAAAGTGCAAACTAAAAGATTGTTGTAACCCTCTTCACACCCTTTGGCAGAACTACAGTAATCTCGGTGTTTTGATGTTTTGATCATGGATGAGGGCTTACTCTGCCACAGCTACTTAATTGTATGTGGACATTTATTTCTCACCAAACTCAACTGAAACACTAAATTTTCACAGAAGACGTCACTCGTAAAATGAGTCATATTTTACTGTGTAATTCTTACAGTGCAATGCTTTTCAGTTCTGAATTAGTCCTTTTCCATGAATTTACAGGACTACTAGCTAAGAAACCCCTTGGGATTCCCAAGCTGGGGATTTCAAATACAGCTACCTGCAAGAAGTTCTAAAGAACTACAAATGAAACATTAGTTTCTCTTATGGTTTCCCTCCATGCATCACATTGCACAATAAGGGTGTCTGATTTTTTGGTCTCAGGAGGGATAGACAGCTGATGGTTTAAAGCAATGTTGCTAAGATTTGGGTCACTTTTAATGTGGGACACACTATTTAGATTTTTCCTGGTTAACACAATAGCATTTTTAAATATTTCACTGCAATTAAAAGGAATGTCTGAGGAAGAAGACACACAGCTCTGATGACTTCAAAACCTCAGATATGCCTCAGGCTCTCAAAAATCCTGAAATCTGCTAAGGAAGGTGCTTTGTTAACTGGCATTTTTATCTGCTAAGATACATTTGGGACTCTACAATTTCAAAAAAAACTTCCAACAAGTCAGAAGGACAAGTCAGAAGACCGGTGTTCTACAGTTTGTTTCCAAGATGAAAGGAATATATAAACCACCAAGCATTGCGAAACATACAACATACGATACTGCATACGGCTGAAAATGAGCATGAACTTGTCTGTCAGCATTCAACCGAACCACAATTCCAAAACCTGAAGGATCTTACTCCATTTCTCAGTGTGAATTTGCATTGAAGAGTATCTTATATCACAGCAACATTTGAGTGTACCTTGTCCCAAATGGCAGTGGAGCAGTAAAGTACTGCTCACGCCCTGGTATTTTGTTAGTCCCTGCCCTGCCATGAAGTATTGAATTCCCTGCACCTCTTTGCCTCTCCACCTCATCCCAGCTCCTCGCGCTGGGGATCTCCCCATTGCCTGGATTTTCTCTCTCACCTCCTCCTTCCTCTCTTGTACTCTCCGTAACACACCAGGGAGGTTGGCAGAGTACGAGGAGTGGACCCAGTTTCTTCTCACACAGTGTTAAGAACCAACCCTCGCTATTTGTTATCATACAGCAGATGAAGTTTTATGAAGCTGTGGGATGTTGCCTTGCTTTTTAAGGGGACACATACATGACATCGTGTGTCTGTATGAAAACCAAGCGGAGGTCAAAAGGCTGCCAGAGTTGCTATCTGTCTGAGTGTGGCACCGTTCGCATTGGGGACACGCCATGGCCACTCCGCCACCGAGGCCACGTTTGCGGGGCACCGAGACCCTCCCAGGGTGCCGTGACGGCTGAACGGGATTGAATGGCGGGGATCCCTGAGATGCCTCCACCATTCCCGGGTCTCCGTCCTGGCACCTTGCCGCCTCATCGGAGCCTTTTCCCGGCAAGCCGAAGGCTGGGGCTCCCCCTCCTCCGCCGCCGGGAAGCGGCGGGGGCGGGCGGGCGCGACCCTCCCCGCGCTGGGCGCTCCCCGGGGAGGAGCCGGCCGGGTCGCACCGGGCCCGCTCGCCAAGTCCGGCTCCGAGCAGCCAAACCCAGCCCCCTGGGCTCGGGGTGGGCGGGGAGGGACGGCCGGCCGGGCGCCTCTCCTGCCGGGAGCGGGAGGACGGGCGAAACTTTGCTCCCCAGCGGCGGCGGCGAGGCACCGGCAGCCGCCGAGGCGAGCGCCGCCAGCATGGGCCCCGACACGCTGCCGCTCGGTACCTACGGCGGGGCGGCCGCCGCCGCCGCCCTGCTGCTCTGGGCCGTGTGCGTGCTCTGCAGGAGGAGAAGGTACCGGGGCGGGGGGCGGCCGCCGCATTCCTGCACGGCCGGGCCGGGGGAGCGGGGCTGCCGGGCGGGCGCGGCGCCGCCGAGCCGCGCATTGGGCCGCGCCGCTCTCCGCCCGCCCCTCCTCTCGGGGCGGCCCTATCAGCGCCCGCCGGGCCGGGGGCGGCGGCCCCCGCGGGATGGCGGCCCCCGGGGGCGGCGGGCCCCGCTGCGGCCGGGAACGGCGCGGGGGCCGCGGGCGGCAGCCGCACCGCCGGAGCTGAGGGAGAACCGGGAGGGCGCGGTGGGGGGCGGCGGCTCCTCGGCTGACCTCGGGCGGGGGCGGCCGCTGGCACGTGGGATTCTGGTCTCGCCTCCCGGGGGTGCATGGATGCCGTGCTCCGAGAGGAGCTGTGCACGTAGCGCATCCCGGGCCGCTCGGCGTGTGCGGGTGCGGTTTGCTCAGGACCTGCTGCTCCGTGCAGCCGCAGAGCCCCAGAGCGGCCCGCGGCCGCTGTCCCGCGGAGCCCCAGGTGCGCCCGCCGAGCCTGCAGCCGCTGCTGCCGGGGCTTGCGACATCGGCCCTCGCTGCCCTTCTCTCCGTGCCGAGTCGCTTGGGTCACAGGCGTTCTAGGGACTTCTGTTGGTGTTACTCATGCTGTTGCCTTTAGTTTATTTCAAGTGTGCAATCTATATAAACTCAAAGAAGGTACACACGTGTTCTGGGACGTTTCAAGAAGAACGTTCAGGTTTTTTTGATGGGGAAAAAAAAGCACTGTCTGAACTATACTTTCTGAAAACCTGTTACTTTATATACATTTTCTCAGGTATTGTTCACTTGATGAAGTGAAATGCTTGGCTACCTGAAGCCAATACTTGTTGCTCTTCAGTGTCTCTTCTGCAACTGATGAATAAATGTGTGTAAAGGCTGACGGAGGAGGTGTGAAGAAGGGGAGGGATCAGTATTCACTGGATTGTTTGCTTACTTTTGATTCATAAAATGAGTTGTGTAGAAAATAATAGATGTAATTCTGAATAGTAAACTGTCCTTTTTCCTAGTAATTGTAAGTTATTTTGCAAGATGCAGACAAGCAAATGCAAAAAATAAATTGTACTACTAGGTTCTAAAAACAAAAAATTAGAAGGACAGTCTGGCCCTTTTTAGACCAATATCCCTGACTTTAAGACCATGTATAGAATGAATTGAAAAACATTGAAAGTTCATGTATTGATCCCAGAAGGCATCTGAAAACATGGATGGGTTATTTCCATGGTATCTGGTTTGGAACTATTATTACATGTGATTTGACTTAGAGAGCCCAATCCATTCGTTAAGTGAGACATCCATCCCAATGTTTGAGTGGGGTCATCCCATAACACAAACTGCTTGACAGTAGTCTGTGATGATGCTTCAGCTCAGTTTATGAAATGGACAGATACTGCTCGACAGGTCACTCCTCCTCATCATCATCCATATTGCTCCTCTGACCCTCTGTAAGCTTATTCTGGGAGTTAAACACATAAAACTTATTTTTGTTTTTGGTAGGTTTAGTTTGCTGCCAGTCTAGCTCCCTAAAGAACATCAGCACATAAAACAAAAGGGGAGCAGGACGGCAAATGGGATTGGGTGTCTTTTGAAGGCTAGAAGATATTATACTGCCTCAGCCATATTATAAATTCTGCCTGTCATTTGTTTAAATTCTAGTGCAATTGTAAAAGAATTTTTGAAAATGGAAACAGGCAAAGCTGTTGCTTGTAAAGTTTTCAGCCAGATGTGAGTGGTAGGGAAAAAAGGATCAAAGAACCCATTCTGAATTATTTTCATACCCCTTATGGCTGCAGAGTTTTTCAAGTGCACTTTAGAGTCTACAGCAAAATGGTTTGTGTCACAGCAGTATGATGTTATACAGAAGACCTCACAAGAAGGTGTCTGTCTTGTCCCAAACACCAAACTGCTGTTTGATTAATTAACTACTTGAAAGCCTGTGCTGTTTCTCAGAGGACTGTACGAAGCAATAGCGAGCAAGCAACTGCAAATAACAAATGGTAAAACCTATCAACAGCCCTCAGCAGAAGGTGCTGGTGTTTAAGTACCATCCTGCCCTAGTAAAATGTGCAATTAATTCTCTTTCTTTTAGCATAAAGAAAGAAAATAAATTATGCATGGTCTGTAGAGGTGCCTAGCAGCAGCCTGTTATGTTCAGCAACCATTTCTGATCTGTGGGAAGAAAAGCTGTTCTAAAGGTGCAGTGGATTAAAAAATGGGTTAGAGCTTAGTTCATGCTTCTCAAATATGGTGCAAATCTGTGATGTCCCTTTGCTTATCAGTTTATCCATCCCCATGTGTTCTCCACATGGGGAGTATTGGCAAATTACTCCATAAATAAATGCCAAAGTCAAGGCTATGTTCCTGGTCATGGATCATAGCCATTTGGACAGAAGAGCAGACAATGTGGAGCTTGCCTGTGTTAGAAGAAATGTTGGTACTTCATGCATGCATGAGCTCTTGTACAAGTTAATATGTTGCCTTAATGTTGGTATGCTTGTAGCAGTGTGCAAACCCTGTATAAGGGAATGGTTGTGTTTAAGGTACCAAGATAAACTTTACCAGAATGATCAAATTTGACATCTTAACCACAGCCCTGCATGGATTCCATCAAGATTACCACAGTAGGCAAGTGTGTGTATATATAAATGAAGAGCTTAAGTAAGTAAATAAACACCACTAACTTGCGCTTCAGAGTTCTGTGTATGTTTTGCTGGGCAATGCCTCTGTCCTGCTTGACTGAGGTGAAGCACAATCACCTTTGTGGCTTTTGAGAGTTACACATCTAGAAGCATAACAAGGCTTTGTATATCCTGGAGAAGAGAACTTCCTAAATCCATCACTGATCCTTACGCAGATGTTACAGGATTTCACCTTTTTTGGTATAAGGTCCTTCCCTTCTGTTTCCTCTCAGGCTGAGGTGCTCGTTACTGGAGTAGGAAAGGTGTTGTATTGACTTAAAATTTTGTCAGAAAAGGTGTTGTATTGACTTAATCTGCTGTTGCTTTTTTCTGTAATGCAGTTGACATAACTTGACATTACAAGATTTGAGGGTGAATTCAGTACCAGTTTTCTCAGTGATAGAGTAGAAAGGAAGAGGAATTTCCTTTTGTATAAATGCTTATCATTTGAGTGCTTGTGGCAGTAATAACACAAAGGAAACTAATTGGAGTCTTTGCCAGGTTTTGTATCACAGATGGTGAAGAAAAAGAAGTTAAACAAAAGTTTCTGTAATCACAGAAAAAAATTAATTTGAGTTAAACTCAATGTCAAATGAGTCTCAGTGCCTTCTGCATGCTAAGAGAGATCTCCCTCTCACTGGTTAGTGAAGAAAAGCCCATCTAGGCTGTTTGCTGGGGAATGTGTTTTCTCCAGAGAGCACTTCCATCTTGCTGCTGCGTAAAAGTATTTCTGCTATGGCAAAAGCTGATGATTTCCTAGCCTGGAGACTGTACAGATTATATTCTCTTTTGCCTTCATGTTTTACTTCAGCCCCAGCCTCAAAAAAAAAAAAAGCCTGTGGTTTTTTTTTGGTGGTTTCAAACTGCTTTTCCACTAGCTGTACACAGTCTCATGGAACAGGAGGTGAGATGTCAGGTGAAGCTGACTCCCATTTGTCTTCCAGCAGTGATGCTGCCCAAGTCAGAAAAGGGCCCTTGAGATCTTCAGGGGCTGTGTCTCCTGCTAACTTCCATAGGTGTAGTACTATTCCACTTTTTGTTGCTCAGATTGATGCATATTTTTGGTTGCTAGTGTTCATTGCATGTCCATGACTGAAAATGGTATTCTCTGACTCCCTCCTTGAAGAGCAGATGCTGCAAATTACTAGGAAGAAGAGGCTTAGGCTAACCACAGATTAAAACCACTGCCTTAGGGGAAGAGGACAGTGGAGAGAAGTGGAACAAGAATTGTTGTTTCCCTATTTATCTGTTGAAATTGAATTCTTCTCCTAAGGTTTGCATCCCAAAATTTTTCAGATAAAGAAAATACAGACCAAACCTGGAAAAAGGTTCCTCATTAGAGGTTTATAACTGCTTGGAAAGTTAACACACGTCTGATGTGAGCTGCATCAATGACAGGGTTTGTAAAAATTATTCCCTCTACAATTCTATTGCTTTGAAATGAAAGGTAGATTTACATTACATAATAGGAAGAAATTCTTTATGATGAGGTTGAGGAGACACTGGAAGAGGTTTCCCAGAGAAGTTGTTGCTGCCCCATCCATGGAAGTGTTCCAGGCCCAGTTGGATGGGGCTTTAAATTTCCTCATGGCAGGGATTTGGAACTAGATGATCCTTAAGGTCCCTTCTAACCCAAACTATTCCCTGATTCTGTAGTTTTGTAGGGTTGGTATTTTAATTATTAGGAATGGTCTTCATGTCAGGATTGCATGTGAGGAATGCTATGATACTTCGCACATGTTGTGGGTTTTACATTACACCAGTATAGGAATTTCTGTGCTGCATTAGATGGGACATGTACCTTCTAATAGATTGTTTCTGACTAGTTTCTAAAGCATCAGAACATGGTATTAAAAAACCTCCGAATTTATACAGTGTAATTGTAGATTGAAGTCAACATAAGAAGAATTGCATGATACATTTCTCAAAGGACTTTGCTGTGACCTGAGTTATGGATTTAAAGCCTTGTTGAACCAAACTGTCTTTCATTTTCCCTTTTATTCTATATTTTAAAATATCTCTGATCTATACAATTACATTAATCTAAGATACTTTTCCCCAAAATTGCTCTCTTGAACCCAGACAGATATTGTTGAAAAGAATATAGATTTTGTCTTTGCCTTCAAGAACATCTTATCCTTCTCTGTGACAAGCTGTGAGCTTGCTAACAGCTCTCTTACCAAGCGAATTGTAGTTCACAAGATGTCATCAGCCTGTCTTTTTTACCACTTCTGCTAATTTAGGCAATATGTTAAGGTAGTTTTCAGTTGGAGGGAACATCAGGAAGGACAGATAGA